AATTATGAGTTAGTACATACCATATTCATCTTTTTGGGTCTGGATTACCTCATTCAGGATAGTGTTTTCTAATTCAATCCATTTGCATGCAAAACTAAAGATGTCATTTTTTTATCTCTGAGTAGTACTCTAATGTGTAAATGTGGCACATTTTCTTTATCCATTCTTCAGTTGAAGGGCATCTAGGTTGCTTCCAAGTTCTGACTATTACAAATAATGCTGCTATGAACATAGTTGAACAAATACTTTTGTTCTATGATTGAGCATCTTTTGGTTATATGCCCAAGAATAGTATGCTGGATCTTGAGGTAGTTTGATTCCCAGTTATCTAAGAACCTCCATACTAATTTCCAAAGCAGTTTACAAGTTTACATTACCACCAGCAGTGGAAGAGTGTTCCCCTTACTCCACATCATCTCCAGCATAAGCTATCATTAGTGATTTTGATCTTAGCCATTCTGACAGGTGTAAGATGGTATTTTAGAGTGATTTTGATTTGTATTTCCCTGATGGCTAAGGATGTTGAAAATTTCCTTAACTATCTTTTGGCCATTTGAGATTCTTCTGTTAAGAATTCTTTCTTTAGTTCTGCACCCCATTTTAATTGGGTTATTTAGAATTTTGATTTGTAATTTTTTTGAGTTCTTTATATAGACGATCTTTTCCCATTCAGTAGGCTGCCTTTTTGTTTTGTTGACTATTCCTTTGCTTTACTGAAACTTCTCAGTTTCAGGAGGTCCCATTTATTTTTTTTAAATATTTATTATTTATTATGTATACAATAGTCTGTCTGTGTGTATGCCAAAGGCCAGAAGAGGGCACCAGACCTTATTACAGATGGTTGTGAGCCACCATGTGGTTGCTGGGAATTGAACTCAGGACCTTTGGAAGAGCAGGCAATGCTCTTAACCACTGAGCCATCTCTCCAGCCCCCGAGGTCCCATTTATTTATTGTTACCTTAGTATCTGTGCTCCTGGGGTTATATTTAGGAAGTGGTGTCTTGTGCCAATGCATTGAAGACTACTTCCCACTTTGTTTTCTATCAGGTTTAGTGTGGTCAGATTTATCCAGGTCTTTAATCCATTTGTACTTGAGTTTTATATATGGTGATAGATATGGATCTATTTTCTTTCTTCTACATGATGATATTCCAGCATTATTTGTTGAAGATACTTTTTTTTCATTGTATAATTTTAGCTTCTCTGTCAAAATCAAGTGTTCATAGATATGTGGATTAATATCCGGGTCTTCAGGTCAATTCCACTGGTCAACCTCACTGTTTTTATGCCATCACCAAGCTGTTTTTATTACTGTAGATCTGTAATAGAGAAATGTCAGGGATGGTAATATCTCTGGAAGTTACTTTATTGTACAGGATTGTTTTGGCTATCCTGGGTTTTTTGTTTTTCCATATAAAGTTGATTATTGTTCTTTCAGGGTCTGTAAAGAATGATATTGTGATTTTAATGGAGATTGCATTGAATTTGTAGATTGTTTTGGTGTAATTGTCATTTTTACTATGTTGATCCTACCTATCCAAGAGCATGGGAAATCTTTCCATTTTCTATTATCTTCTTTTCTTCAATTTCTTTCTTCAAAGACTTAAAGTTCTTGTCAAATAGGTCTCTCACTTCTTTGATTAGAGTTACCCCCAAGATATTTTTATGTTATTTGTGGCTATTGTGAAAGTTGATATTTCTCTGATTTTTCTCTTAGCTTTATTATCATTTGTATATAGGAGGGCTGCTGATTTTTTTGAGCTGATCTTTTATCCTGCCACATCACTGAAGGTATTTATCAGCTGTAGGTGTTCTTTGCTAGAGATTTAGGGGTCCCTTATTTATACTATCATCTGCAAATAATGAAAGTTTGACTTCTTCCTTTTCAAATTAAATTCCCTTGATCTCCTTTTTTTGTCTTATTGCTATAGCCAAAACTTCAAGTACTATGTTGAAGATATATGGGAAGAGTGGACAGCCTTGTCTTGTTCCTGATTTTAGTGGAATTGCTTTGAGTTTCTCTCCATGTAATTTGATGTTGGCCATTGGCTTGCTATATATTGCTTTTATTACATTTAGATATGTTCCTTGTACCCCTGATCTCTTTCAGACCTTTTCATGAAGAGTGCTGGATTTTGTTCAATGCTTTTTCAGTACCTAATGAAATGATCATATGGCCTTTTTCTTTCAGTTTATTTATATGATGGATTACATTGGTAGATTTTTATATGTTGAACTAGACTTGCATCTCTGGGATAAAACTGACTTGATTATGGTAGATTTTTTTATGTGTTCTTGTATTTGGTTTGTCAGGATCTTATTGAGTATTTTTGCATCCATGCTCATGATTGAGACTGGTTTGTAATTCTCTTTCTTGATTGTGTTTTTATTTGGTTCTGGTATCAGGGTTATTGTAGCCTCAAAAAATAGTTTGGCAACATTCTTTCTGTTTCTATAATGTGGAACACTTTGAGGAGTATAAGTATTAGCTCTTCTTAAAAGTTCTGGTAGACATCTGCACAAATCCATCTGGCCCTGGGTATTTATTTGGTTGGAAGATTTTTGATGACAACTTCTCTTTCCTTGCAGTTTATAGGTCTATTTAAATTGCTCACCTGGCATTTCTTTACTTTTCATGTCAATCTCCTTCCTCCCCTCCTCCTGCTTCCCCCATGTTCTCTCAAATCCATTCTCATGCACTCTCCTGACAGTGTAAGGCCTTTCATAGGGAGTCAACAGAGTTTGTCACATCACCATTGATCTTACCTAAACCAAAATATTTTGATTAGTTCTTCAAATATGCTTATATATGTGAGATGACTGATTATTTGTACACAATTGTAGGTGCATATATGAGGCAGCCCTTGCCCATGTAGTTAACATAACAAAAAATTGTGAGACATGTATGCTGTCAACTGACCTCAGTTTGTCTGCAAGAGCAGTACATTCTCTTGACATTTGGGGCAAATTTCTAGTCCATTAAGCAAATTGACTAATTACATTTGTCCATAAACGCATTGTTTGGATAAATAGGCTTAAAATCTAGAAGCACATCATCACTTTGTGAAATTATCTAATGATTCAGAAAACTCGCAATCATGTTTCTTATATGTCTAGTGGTGGAGCTTATAACATATGAATAGGGCACTATTCCTCAAGTCATACATTCTGTACTATCATTCTTGCTTGAGTGTTTTTGTTTTGTCAAGGTCCTGGTGTTATATCAATATCTACTTAATACTCAAGAGCACTCACTGAGTCTGGATCTCACATACATGAAAATTAGGAAGGGGAAAGGGTGTTCCAAGAGATGATAGAATCAATTGGTAGGACATTTAATTCTAAGTATGTTCCAGAGATCCTACCTTCAGGACAGGAATATTGCTTCTTATAATCAATAATCAGGGATAAAGCATCCATACTGCTAGATGAGGACACAATTGACAATTTGTTTGCTTGTTTATATTTTGCCTTTTAAGACATAAAAATTATATTTCTAAATTTTTTCTCTCATTCTCACCATCACTTCCCCAATCACTTTCATATTCAAGCTCTGTTGTTACTTTTTACATATACACATACATGTAAATATCCACATACCAGAGAAAACATACTTATTCTCAAGGCTCTCTAGCCAGCCTGAGCATGGCAAACATGGCTGAGCAAGCCTTGTTCTTCTATCCCTTTGCCTTGCTAAAAAACCATTAGATTTCAGTGATAGTTTGAACAGTGGTAGTAATTGACCCTGTTAAGCAGTGTGACATGCTCGGAGTAGGTATGATCTTATTGGAGGAAGTATGTCATGGTGGAGCCAGATACTGAGGTCTCTTATAGTCTTAGGTTATACCCAGTGAGACAGTTTATTTCCTGTTGCCAATAGATCAAAGATATAGAATACTCAGCTCCTTCTCTAGCACCCTTTCTTCCTGTATACTACCATGTATACCATGATGTTAATGGACTGAGAATCCAAACTATAAGACACCCAATTAAATATTTCCTTTATAATAGCTACTCTCTTCATGGTTTTTATTTACAGAAATAGAAACCATAATGAGGCTTCTATATTCCTAAAGCCTCTACCAACCTCTACTCCTTTATTTGGTCAGTTCCTTCTCCTTAGATTGATTATAAATGTTCACTTATCAAAATATTGAAATTTAGCTATCAAAAACTCCTTTCTGGCTATCCTAATTAACCCATTTTATCAAAATTAAATACTTCTTCCTAACATGGGGCTTCCTTTTTACATTTATAAACTGCTATTTTCCTATAGCCACATCTGTCTCCTCTCTATCCAGAGGCAATTCTTTATCTACCCTGACAAATGATCTCTTCTCCCTGTCTCTTGTTGTTTTAATCTTCTCCTCCTTTCTCTATTTCTTGTCTTTGTCCTTTATTCTGTGCCCATTGTCTATTCTGGTAAATCTATCTCCTTTTATTGAGAACTTGGTCTTGTCATGTGATATACCGAGTCCAAGGACTTCTGCAGATTGTGTTAAGTGTCATTTCTATGTCAATGCATTTGGGTTGTTGAATTCAAACAGAAAAACAGATCACATGTCTTGTTCCAATGGAAGACACAGTCTCCATCTACAACAGAGAGACCATTCATAAAACAGACAGAATCTCACCAGACACTGCATTCATGGGATCTGAGACTTCAAAATACACTCTGTGCAATATAATGTTTAATGATTTTACCCTCTGTCAATTCATCAGTTTCAGTCTTTTCATCATAGCCTTTAGAATATACTGAAAATATCTGTGCTCTCTGATAACATAACAAATGCTATCACCAACACACAGTAAAATAGATAAAATAGTGATTGGTTGATTTCACTTCCCATAATAATCAATGAGTATTATGCAGTAATGTCTTTTAACTGCATTCTCAGCAACAAATGCAATTCTGCAATGCTTCTTCAACAAGTTTAATCGAACTATCCTGTCAATGAATGGCTACAGTTGCACTAATCATACTTTCCTTTCTCTATCAGATGTGGATAAATGTGTGAGGTGTCCAGAGGACCAGTATGCCAACAGAGAGCAGAACCGGTGCATTCCAAAAGCTGTGGTCTTTCTGGACTACAAAGAACCCTGGGGGATGGCTCTTGCCTTAATGGCCTTGTGCTTCTCTGCATTCACAGCTGTGGTTCTGGGAGTCTTTCTGAAGCATCATGACACGCCCATTGTGAAGGCCAACAACCAGAATCTCAGCTACATCCTGCTTATCTCACTCATCTTTTGTTTCCTGTGCACTTTGCTCTTCATTGGGCATCCCAATTCAGCTACCTGTGTCATGCAGCAAATCATATTTGGAGTTTTATTCACTGTGGCTGTTTCCACTGTATTGGCCAAAACAGTGACTGTGCTGCTGGCTTTCAAACTCACAGTCCCTGGAAGAAGGATGGGCTTCTTCCTACTTTCACGGGCACCCAAGTACATCATTACTATTTGTCTTTTCATCCAAATTATTCTATGTGCAATCTGGTTGCGATTTTCTCCACCCTTTGTTGACACCGATCCACACTCTGAGCATGGCCAAATCATCATTGTGTGCAGCAAGGGCTCAGAGACTGCATTCTACTGTGTCCTGGGATACCATGGCTTCCTTGCCTTAGTGAGCTTCATTGTGGCTTTTTTGGCCAGAAATCTTCCTGACACATTCAATGAAGCTAAGATGCTGACCTTTAGCATGTTTCTGTTCTGCAGTGTCTGGGTCACTTTTCTCCCTGTCTACCACAGCACCAAGGGGAAGGTGATGGTAATTTTGGAGGTCTTTTCCATCTTAGCTTCCAGTGCAGGTGTACTGGGATGCATCTTTATCCCCAAGTGCTATATAATTTTGCTAAAGCCAGAAAGAAATTTTCTTCGGAAGTTCAGGGAGACAACATCTTCTTGAACACACATTTCATAAATTGCAACTGACAACTAGTGTTGGTAAAGAATGACCCATTATGATACAATGTAAGATGCACGTAATAGCATATGATTCTTATTGTTTTTTCTAATGATGATATCCAGAAGTGTCATGTATACTACTTTTCTGTACATTGTGACCTATAATCTTCCTCTCAACCACATATTTTTTAAGACCTAGTTTTTGGACATTGGTGCATAGGAGGTGTGTTCCTTTCTTTTTCTAGTGCACAATAATATTTGAAACTCTTAGTAATTCTTTTGATATCTGAATGAATGTGTGACTTTGAGCATAAGAGAAAATACAGAAAATTTGTAGTAGAGTGAATAAATGTTTGAAGATTATGAAACTAATTTCTGTAGAGGAAGACAACCAAATCCTATTTCATCCTATGAGTTAGAGTAGTAGAACTTAGGAAGGAGGGGTAAGTTTTGTCATATAGACAGGAAGAATACTGAGAAAGATGGAGAGATGTCTCAGAATTTAAAATCATGTACGGCTTTTTCAGAGATGAGTGCACTACCCATTTGACAAATCTTGCAATTCACAAGCACCTATCACAATAACTCCAATGAATCAGATGCCCTCTTCTGGCTTACAAGAACATCTACACTGAGATGTTCATATAACAACACAATCAAAAATCAAAGGCGGGCGGTGGTGGTGCATGCCTTTAATCCCAGCACTTGGGAGGCAGAGGCAGGCGGATCTTTGTGAGTTTGAGACCAGCCTGGTCAACAAGAGCTATTTCCAGGACAGGTTCCAAAACCACAGAGAAACCCTGTCTCGAAAAACAAAAATAAAATAAAATAAAATAACAATCAAAAAGTACAAATACACATGAATGAAATTAAATGAACTTTATAAATTTAATTTTACAAAGCACTATGGTGGAACACTGGATTTCTTTTATTTTTACTTTATTGAAAATAGATTTTTAATTGAGTTTGAAGTCAGGGATGGTAATGCCTCTAGAAGTTCCTTTATTGTATAAGATTGTTTTGGCTATCCTGGGCTTTTTGTTATTCCATATAAAGTTGATTATTGTTCTCTCAAGGTCTGTGAAGAATTTTGTTGGGATTTTAATGGGGATTGCGCTGAATTTATAGATTGCCTTTGGTAGAATTGCCATTTTTACTATGTTGATCCTACCCCTCCAAGAGCATGGGAGATCCTTCCATTTTCTGGTGTCCTCTTTAATTTCTTTCTTCAATGCCTTAAAGTTCTTATCAAATAGGTCTTTCACTTCCTTGGTTAGAGTTACCCCAAGATACTTTATGCTATTTGTGGCTATAGTAAAAGGTGAGGTTTCTCTGATTTCCCTCTCTGCTTTTCTATCCTTTGTGTATAGGAGGGACACTGATTGTTTGAGTTGATCTTGTATCCCGCCACATCACTGAAGGTATTTATCAGCTGTAGGAGTTCTTTGGTAGAGTTTTAGGGGTCACTAATGTACACTATTATATTATCAGCAAATAACGAAAGTTTGACTTCTTCCTTTCCAATTCATATCCCCTTGATCTCCTTAAGTTGTCTTATTGCTATTGCTAGAACTTCAAGAACTATGTTGAAGAGATATGGTGAGAGTGGACAACCTTGTCTTGTTCCTGATTTTAGTGGAATGGCGTTGAGTTTCTCTCCATTTAATTTGATATTAGCTGTTGGCTTGCTATATATTGCTTTTATTATATCTAGGTATGATCATTGTATCCCTAACCTCTCCAAAACCTTTATCATAAAGGGGTGTTGAATTTTGTTAAATGCTTTTTCCACATCTATGGCGCACGCCTTTAATCCCAGCACTCGGGAGGCAGAGGTAGGCGGATCTCTGTGAGTTCGAGACCAGCCTGGTCTACAGAGCTAGTTCCAGGACAGGCTCCAAAGCCACAGAGAAATCCTGTCTCGAAAAACCAAAAAAAAAAAATAATAATCATATGGTTTTTTTAGTTTATTTATATGATGGATTACATATATAGATTTTCATATGTTGAACCATCCCTGACTTCAAACTCTGTTACAGAGCTACAGTAATGAAAACAGCTTGGTATTGGCATAAAAACAGAGAAGTTGACCAATGGAATTGAATAGAAGACCCGGATATTAACCCACAAACCTATGAACACCTGATTTTTGACAAAGGAGCTAAAAGTATACAGTGGAAGAAAGAAAGCATCTTCAACAAATGGTGCTGACATAACTGGATGTCAACCTGTAGAAGAATGAAAATAGATCCATATCTATCACCATGTACAAAACTCAAGTACAAATGGATTAAAGACCTCAATATTAATCTGAACACACTGAACCTGATGGAAGAGAAAGTGGGAAGTACACTGCAACACATGGGCACAAGAGACCACTTCCTACGTATAACCCCAGTAGCACTGACAATAAGAGCAACAATGAATAAATGGGACCTTCTAAAACTGAGAAGCTTCTGTAAAGCAAAGGACACTGTCAATAAGACACAAAGGCAACCCACTGATTGGAAGAAGATCTTCACCAACCCCGCATCAGACAAAGGTCTGATCTCCAAAATATATAAAGAACTCAAGAAACTACACTTTAAAATGCTAATTAACCCAATTAAAAAAATGGGGAACTGAACTGAACAGAGAATTCTCAACAAAAGAAGTTCAAATGGCCAAATGACACTTAAGGTCATGCTCAACCTCCTTAGCGATCAGGGAAATGCAAATCAAAACAACTGTGAGATATCATCTTACACCTGTCAGAATGGCTAAAAATCAAAAACACAAATGATAGCCTTTGCTCGAGAGGATGTGGAGTAAGGGGCACACTTACATTGCTGGTGGGAATGCAAACTTGTGCAACCACTTTAGAAATCAGTGTGGCAGTTTCTCAGGAAATTCGGGATCAACCTACCCCAGGACCCAGCAATACCACTCTTGGGAATATACCCAAGAGATGCCCTATCATACTACAAAAGCATTTGTTCAACTATGTTCATAGCAGCATTATTTGTTTTTTTTTTAATCATGCTTTTTTTATTCTAAGTAAACATAAACCAGATAGGACAAAAATCAAATCAATGACAATACAAGTATTGAAATGGTAAGAATTCTAGGAACCCTGTTTTAATAGCCTTCGGATGTGAGAGCTACGACGCTGAGCTGAAGCAAGCATGATATATGTCCACCACACATTTCCAGAATGACTCACCTTTGAATTTTCTCTAATTTGCACACTTCACCTACTCTCCTTCCAAATTACTAGGTCAAGAAATACTTCTCGTTTTCCTCCGTTGATACGCTGCTTTGACTATTTAGCTTTGCATATTAAGTTTTAACTTATTGGCTTCAGTGATACTCTGATCCCAGGGGGGCTAGGGGATAAAATGTGTTTTTCCAAGGTGCTTTCAAGCCTGGGTTGCAATCTCTAATGTCTGAACTAATGCTTGCTCTGAAGCTGTGAGCCCCGTGGAAGAGCTATTGATCTGCAATCTCCCCGGCACATTTCCACCATCTTCTAAAATCCCAAGGACATTCTAATTAGGAGCAGACACTGGCTACAAATTAGAGCGAAAGAGGCACGCGGGCATTCAGATAGAGACCTTCGGCATTCACATCCCAGGCAATTGGAAGCGGGGCTGAGATTCCTCTTAATCAATCGGCCAAGTTTGGTTGTTTCCCAAAGGCAATAATAGTAAATAAATAACAGCCAACAACCAACAAAATAAACGCAAATTACACCCAGTGTTATTACAAGTGAAGCTATTGATCCCACAGCGCACAATTTATGAGCTCCGCGAAGCAGCTTGAGGCAGCCAGAAAAGGGCTTGCTATGGTGCTCGAATGCCGGGGGCATCATCCCATGACCCGTGTTTGAATCTGTATGTTCTCTTCGCCTGTATGTTCATTCTCGCTGTGACTCTCACGGCCTTATCTGTATATTAAAAGTAGCAAGGATTTACCTCCCAGATTACAAAGTACTGCCATATAGGCTCTGAAGAGGACAGTTACCGACGCCACTTCAGGCTTTCATATTCTAGACCACAAAGTCAGAGGCTATGGGAACACAGCTATCACTCATCGTGATTGTAGTGGTCACCGAGTCGCTGATATCCTTGACCATGTACAGACTGGGAGTCAGACTGAGGCTAAGAGTTAAGAGCAGAGCACGTGACAGCACAGAGGCCACTACTCTTACAAGTAGCATAACTGTGAAGGACAGTATTCTCACCTTCTTCATTTTGAGGACTAGAAACCTTAATGCCAGAAATAGTGTATCTGGAGCAGCATTATTTGTAATAGCCAGAACATGGAAACAACCTAGATGCACCTCAATGGAAGAATGGATAAAGAAAGTTTGGAATATATACACATTAGAGTACTACTCAGCAGTAAAAAAAAAAAAAAAAAAAAACCAATGACATCTTGAATTTTGCATGCAAATGGATGGAAATAGAAAACACTATTTTGAGTGAGGTAACCCAGAGCCAAAAAGATGAATATGGTATGTACTCACTCATAAGTGGATTCTGGCCGTAAATAAAGGACATTGAGCCTATAATTTGTAATCCTAGAGAAGCTAAATAAGAAGGTGAACCCAAAGAATAACATATAGTTATCCTCCTGGATATTGGAAGTAGAGAAGATTGCCAGGCAAAAATTGGGAGCTTGGGTGGGGGTGGGGTGGGGATAAGGGGAGATGCGGAGAGAGAAGGGAAAAGGGGAGGATAGGGAGAGCTTGGGGCAATGGAACAGTTGGGATGGAGGAAGGGTGGATATGGGAGGAGGGAAGTATATAACTTAATTAAGGGAGCCATCTTAGGGTTGGCAAGAGACTTGACTCTGGAGGGGTTCCTAGTTATAAATGGGAAAGGAAAAGTTCTCTTTTCTAGTCATGCAATCATCATGAGGACAAAATGAAGTCACAAATGGGCTCAGAAGACAGGACCCCAGTCTCTCCTGAGCATCGGACCCATGCCTCCATCCTTTACCACACACACTCTTTAAAGT